TACTCTCAGGACAAAACCTGGTTTCTGCATTTGCTTGTTCTACTTCAGTTTGTTTATAGCTTACGTGGATACTGTACTTTCTTGCTGTTTAAGCAATTCATTAAAGTGGATTTTACTACTAAATTTTAGAAGTTGTATCTAATAGTATTAAGGTATATTTGTGACACCAGAGATTGCCAAACATCCTTTTGTGTGGGGCGCGGGGGTAAGGAGGGGACAGTATCTTTTGTGGTTGAGAACCACTGTTCTCACACTATGTGAATTTGGTCTCAGTTGAAGTTTCTTGTCTGATTATCCCTGCCTGTGGCTTTTACCTTCTGGGTTTTCTGTAGTACATAGTGCAAGTCTGGATTGTATACTTGCCACTTACTACATTTGGTTGTGCATTTTTTCCTGTCTGCTGTGTGTGTGTGTGACTGCACATGCACACGCCTGTCTGGTTTTCCTAAATTCTAGATGTATTTCACTTTTTTCTTTATTTGCTATTTTTGATCAACCCTGTACATGTGTTAGTAGTTTTAAATATATAAGTTGCTTGCTATTTTCCTTTTTTATATGGTAGCAATGGGGGCTTGGAAAATTGAATCATTCTAGAAAATGCAGGGAACTTTGAGGTGTTCTAAATTCTAATATTCTATTAATGATCATTATGAGACAGACAATAGAATTAATATTGATGTAATGGTAGTATGTATATCCAATAATAATGAAAAATTCAAGACGGCATAAGGTAGTTATAAAGATAAGAAAGATGTGATTTCTGTTACATGTATACATCATATAAATAACATAAAAATGTGCAGTAGAGTAGAAATAAAAAAATAGACTGAGAAATATAGAAAATGGAAGGATTTGTAGAAGCATGAAGTAGGAATGATTAGTTCTTCAGAGTGAGATGAGCAAAGTAATCAATATGTCGAGGTAAATTGTTAGGATGATGGATGTAACATCTGGTTAGGAGTGACTTGGGTAAAGCTGACAAATGTGATATGTGAATGTTAGTAAGTTGAAAACAAGTTGGAATTAGAGAGGTTAGCATCTTACTACCAACTAAAGAGAAATATATATTTTTTGTACCAGTTGGGAAAGATATAGCTCAGTTATAGATTTTCCTCCACCTTTAAAAAATTATCAGCAAATCCCATGTAATAAAATAAATTGAAACTTGAATCTAACTACTTTTTATAAGGTGCTCCTCATCTAGGCCAAATTTTCATGAAAAATAATCATAAGCACAATATGTGTTCATTGTAGAAAAATCAGAAAGTAATGAAAAGTATTAGGAAAGTGAAAGGAAGTGAGAGATCCCAAAGCCTGAATCACTACTGTATTTAGGTTAACTCTATTCTCTTGATTTTTATGTGGTTTTAGTTTCTCTAGATACAGACATGATGTATGAATGTATAAATATATACTATGTGTGTATATATGTGTGTATGTATGCATATTTATATAAAATGGGTTATTTTATATGAAGTGTTTTGTAGCTTGTCATTTAATTTTATAGCCTTTTTCATTTAATATTATGAACATTTCTTCAGATGTGTGTGTTTGTGTGTGTATATTTATATAAAATGGTTATTTTATATGAAATGTTTTATAGCCTGTGCTTTTTCATTTAGTGTTATATTTCCTTTTATCAGTAAAATTCTCAAAAGTTATATTAAGTGACTACAAAGTATTCTATTCTGAGATTATCCCCAAATTTAAGTATTTGCCTGTTGTTAAACAGTTGGGTTTTCTTTCATATACATGTACACACAAATCTAAACACACACATGTATGTACATATACATATAATTGAAATGAAGCGCTCTAATGAAAAATTTTGAGTACATCTCCCATTTTGTCTGAAGAATTGTAATCTGTGCTGCAGTTTGGCTCTGATATTTTGCCCTGCAAAATTTACTTGTCTTCTTTAGTAAAAAGGACCCTAATTTTATACCTGGGCATTTTTACCAATGTTGGAGACTACTTTTCCTATCCTTCCAAGTGGTTAGGTGTGGACAAAACATTAGATTATTGTTTACAAGCTGTAAGCTGAAATATGAGAGTTAGAAGCAAGCAGGGTGGGCCTTTCTTTCCCTTTCCTTTTTTCTGTTGCCTGCAGTGTGGATGTATTAGCTGGAGTTCCCATAGCCTTCTTGGAGTATGAGCCGACTTCAAATAGAACAGTATGTGGTACAGCAAAAGGTTAGAAAGACCTTGGGTTCCAGATGTTTGGAGCTACCACATCAGCCTTTGTCTACTTTTGGACATTCACATGGCAGAAATTCTCTCCCTTTGTTTCTTCCTCTCTTAAATTATTATATTATTATTATTGAAATTTTCTTTTTCGCTGGGGAAGGATATGACCTAATCCTGTCCAGTTAAAGATACCATTATTTAATGCTCTGTATGTTAATGTGATAGGTCAAATATAAAGAAACATTGTGTTATGGTAGATTCTAGATCCAGGTTGAAACCAAAATCTACTTTGAGATTAGAGAGAGATTAATTGGTAGTGAAAGAGAGCACTTAAAACGATACATAATTTCTGGAGCTCTTTGATAATTATATTGCTGAATTTTGTCTGAAGTGCTCTTACTAATTATTACAAATAGTCTTTCAGAAAACACTTGGTAGCTTTTAGGTAACCCCTACCCCCATTCTCACAAACCATTGAGGATTATATATTATGTTTTATCAGAATAATCCCTTCAAGCCCTATGAATTTTTAATATTATTAAATATCTTGGCCAGTTGCTTTTACAAGGTTAACTCATAGATATGGCTTTTAATACTCTCATATTAACTTTATTGAAAGAATTTTGATAAATGAAACTGTAGACTTATGTTTTTGTATTGATTCTAAGAAAGCTATTCATAACTTCAGTGAAATAAGTGAAGGATACACATTTAAAAGAATTAATAGGCTTTTTTTTTTTTTTTTTTTTAGCAATTTTAGGGTTACAGAATAATTGAGCAGAAAGTACATGGAGTTTCCATATACCCAGTTTTCCAAGGATACACATTTTCATATAGGGTATTTCACTGCATATAATATATATATATATATATATATATATATATTTTTTTTTTTTTTTTTTTT